CATCATGTCCATCCCCAAGATGTGCCATACCAAACTATATGGCCTAGATGTTAGTCTGACCGCATTGAAAGATGAATTTCCCCTGTAGGTAAGTTAACCAGGGTAAAGCCAATGATATTCAAGGGACCTGTTTGTCTTAGGCTGTGTTTAGGAAAATGGCACAGAAAGGAATGAAGTAGTAATGATTTGGTTTATCTTTATTTGACAACAATTTACTGGGTGACTATTATGCACTGAGCACTTTGGTCTGTACTGCAGATATGAGGAACCGATACTTCCTTCAAGGGACTTATATAGTCCAGCAAGGGAGAGAAAGAAGAGTAAATTCTTGCTTACTGAACTATGTAAAAAGTATAATAATAGGATGATAAAGCACCGAGGGGCACATATTCTGCCCTTGAGGACCTTTGAGCTGTTCCATAACAGCCTGCCTTTGAAATAGAAGCTATGAGCCAATGCAAAAACAAGGAGATAGGTGGAGGGATAAGGTCTGTTCAGAAGCTTGGAGTGGTCTAGTATGGCTAAATGGGATTGCACTGAGAGGAAATTTCAAGAGACTATAGAGTTGGGCAGGGCCTGATCATGAAGGACTTTGTGTATCATTAAGGAGTTGGCCTGAAAGTGATGGAAAAGCACTGATGGACTTTGGGCAGCAGACTAACATGATCAAATTGTGTTTTAGAAAGATTATCCTGGTAGTTAGTCACATTAAAGATGGAATTTGGGGGAAAAGTTAGTGATACTAGAAAACAGAAACCAATCAAAAGGCTTTTATAATAAAACAAATAAACAATAAAAGGCTAAAGCAGGAAGTTACAGCAGGTAAGAGAGAATATTGTAGAGTCAACTGCCTGGGTTCAAATCCTGATTTTACTATTTACACAGCATGTGACATTTGGGCAAGTTACTTGACTTCGCTATTCCTTAATTTCCTCATCTGTAAAATGGGGATGATAATAATAGCTGGGTTGTTTGAAGGCTAAATGAGTTAAGATATGCAATGCATTTATACCAGTAGCGGTATGTGCAAATTCTCAATGGATGTTAGCTCTAACAACTAAAGCTAAAGCAGGGAAATGGGGAAGAAAGGAAGAAAATGGACATTGAACATATGTGACAGATGAAAGGGATAATTCCAGGCATATCCTAGGATTCTAGTTTTAGTGGCCAGATGGGTAGACAATGATGGCATAAGGAGAGAATTCAGGTGGTGAAGATGAGGAGTTTAATTTTAAATGTGCTACCACAGGGCTCTCAGCTCCTGGCTGAGGCTCATCAAAATCTGTTACCAAACCCAAGTCTGGCTGCCTGCCCTGTGCAAAAACAAACCACCCCAAATCAACTTATTGGTGGAATAGGAAGTCAGCATTATTCAGG